TCAGAATTGTCAAAGCGTCTGCTGATATGCCTCATGGATTCAACATGTATTTTCACATGAACAAAATATTTTATTGCTAACAATACAAATTCCTTATCATGATTGTTGTTTGTATAATTGATATTAACCATTAAGGCCTTGATGAGTTCCTCAGTTTCTGGTGGATCGCCGCCGGGAGTCCTTGGACTCAATGTTACATGAAGTTCTTTGGTTCCGTCTACTTCTATTTCGGTCTCTGACTTTTTCCTATCCTTCTCTTTCTGTAAAGTATAACAAACATATGTAGACTTCATACATTTTGTTTATCACACTTAATTTAGTTTGAAAACAAATCAAAAATAAAAAAATTTGATATATAAACGTTAAATATATTGTTACACAATTTTTTTTCACATAAATTTTGTTGCTTTCATATTACTTCATCTTCAATATATACTTACATTATTTTCAAACTGAAGTATTTAATTATATATTAGGAGCTCTAGATATGATTTAAGGATACGTACTTTTATTTTTTCTACTTCAATTTTTGCTTTCTTTTTGGGCGGTGGTGCAGAATCCTTCTCGGATTCTGCAAAAGCTGTTTTAAATTCAGTTATCTGTGCCTTGTCATAAACTCCTCTCTCTTCCCAAATCTGTAGTAACCTATTTAACCGCTCCCTTGTTTTCTCATCAAAACCCTTCATATGCTCGAAGGCTTTGGGCAAGACCGTCTCGAATTCCTTCCCAAACTCTGGTCCTTTTTTTTTACTATTTTGGATGACATCATTTGCCAAATACATAAATGTCAACTTGCGATTGCCTTTCACTGTAAAAATGTATATGAAATATTTAAATTTGTGCCAATAACTTTTGTATAAAAGATTAAATAGAAAAATTATAATAGTCCAAATGATAATTATATATAAAGATTATATAAATATTTCTATTACTATAATATATTAATTCATTTTAACTATTTAACTGAATGCTTTAAAGTATTCTAACTATTTGCTTATTTGTCTCATAATACATTCAAATATTATCACTACCAAATTATTATGTACTTCTGTAATAATCAATTAAGCATATGTCTTGTTGTAATTTTTACTTGATCGAAAGATGGCAGCATTAAATATATTTAAAAAATGCTATTTCATATTTACATATGGAAATTGGACAAGTAAATGGTATTTCTTTTTTTAATACATTCATCTTTTATATCTTGTGTCCATTTCTATTATGCAAATTAACTTAAATTTCAATTTAATATATTCTTTATCTCCTGCTAGTTCTAAGAATTAGAAAAAAATAAAGGAGTAAATTAAACCAAGATTAAGTTAACCTGTATTGATAGACAATATCTGTCCAAACAATATAACTGTGGTTTATGAAAAGCTGGTTTCAATGGTTGAACAGATATTTATTTTGGTAAATGTTGCAAAACATTATAAATTATTCCTTTAAAATAAGGGAAGAATTATAAAACATGTTGCTCATTGAATTTCAGTACTTACTTAAGTATTAATGGTTAGAATTGCAACAATTCACGGCTCGTGAATTCTGTATATCGTATCGCTATCATACTTAACTAATTGATTTAAATTGATTTGTAATTAAAAAATTTTTAGAAATGACGCTCGCCTGAGATAATGTGCGTCGCGGCATGTTCTACCGCATCGTCAAGCTCAGGATAACGTTTCGATCTGACGGATATATAGAACAATTGAGAACATTCCCGTAAGTCGCTCGTACCTTTGCACATTTCCTTGTACCAAATCTTCACGATGGTTGGGTGGTGTTTTCTGTGATGTATCAGCCAGAGTGAGAGCGTTTGGATGCTCTGTTGCGATGGGTTCAGGTCCATCAATCGTTTCACCAAGGCGCTCTCCGTGAATCCTGTCATGGTGCATCGGCTGTTATCAGTGGTTTTGTCAACGACGCCTTCGGTCAAAGCCTTGATTAGGGACACGATCGCGTCTAGCTTCCAATGTCGTTAGATATCCGCACGCGTATACAAGTGCGGACAGTGCTGCAGACCAGACAACAGCTGAATCAAGAGCAAACGCATTTTGCGCAGACGCAGTCTGCAAAATGTCTTCTGCTATTAACGCCACCGGCGAAGAATCGCAGAACTAATGCATTCTTACACTGCTTTGTGTTTGTCGGTAAGTATGATATTCGATAATTATATTGAAATTGGTCATCGAAATTTTAAAAATATAATAATGTTCATCTCTAAATTTCGTGACATAATTGTGATGCTGGACCCGCCTGTATTATCGATACAACTAGCGTTTTTGACGTTTTCGTTCCTGTTTAATTTCTTCATAAGAGTTTCGCAGAATAAAAATTCCTTCTACACGATTTAAATATTTAAGTTAATGTACCTACCTCTGGTATGTATGTATGTACGTGCATGTATTTTTTGTGTCCAAAGCTGGAAAAAGTATGAAATTACAGATTTCTTTATCCATTTAACCTACAGCGAAAAACGCTAGTTTTATCGGTGATAATTGAAGAACGATGACATTATTGACAATTAATAAATTTGAAACTAATATTTCGACAATATATTATATGTTCTCATATAGGTACCTAAAAAATCCTGATTTTATCTTAAAACTCTAGAAACGAAACGATAGTATCTACTGTTTTCTATATTTACAGAATTGTGATTGTTTTGATTTTATTTGGTAACAAAGGCCTTACCATGAACAAAAAATTGACATATTTATAAGTAATTTATAAAAACGTAAAAATAAAATATAAAATCTAAGATCATACATATTTATACTTTATTTAAAATCTTCTTATTCCATTCCTAATATTATATATACTTTTCTATTCCAATATTCCAATATTTAATACGATTAAATAAATTTTTTGTAAGCTTTGTCTTCAAGCTCAATTGCTGAAAACATGGTTTCACGTATTTTTCATGTAGGAGTAGTTATCCAAAGATTTGGATAACCATGCATTCTAAAAAAAAGTCATGTTACATATGGTTACATAAAAATTGTTTAATTCAGCTATATAATTTGAGAAACCATACGTCAATATAAGTTCCTTTTCTTTTAATTATACAATTATGCTTTCTGAAGTTCTATCCACATATACATTGTTACACGATGCATGGTAATTATTTGTAATAGCACATAATTTTTTAATCACCTGACTTCAAAGATAGCATAATGATTTTGAACAACCCGTTAATTTATTAACATTAATTACATGATGACGTCATGTAACTCTGTCGTGTTCCTTTTTTGGTAAGTATATCTATAATTAAATATCGAAGAAAAGAACAAATAATGATTACAGTGATATACGCGCGAGAATTGTACCTATATTTAAGATCATACAGTCGCGATGTTAATATTCATTATTTTTAATTCATAATGTAATCATTCATTACGTTATCATTCATTATTTGTAGATTCAGTACGGTACGCTCGCATTCATTTTTTCCCATTGATAGAAAACTGTCGACTGTGTGTGTGTGTGTGTGTGTGTGTGTGTGTGTGGGCGCGCGCGCGAATGTAAATGGCGCAGAATTACTCGGAAGAAACGAATACACATATACTCAGCCTAACGCAATTTATTGCTATCCAACAATACATAAAATAGATTAACAAAAATGTTTATGAAAATTTCATTATTCTAACGATTTCATTTAGTCAAATTTTGACACCGTTTACTCCATCAAAGAATTTTTTTAATATTAGTGTAATTTATGCATTGAAAAGGACCTGGACTAAGGTCAAAACGTAAGCAATTTTATGTAACTAAATAAATTTTATTACACACTTTCAATCTGTGTTAGCTCGCAACGACCATTTATTTTAATATTTTATTTATATATTATGATTTAATTCAACAGAGCCTCCTATATTTATTGTTTAAATGTGTTATTATGACATAAAAAAATACAAATAAAAATGGATAAGTATATTATAATTGATTTCATAATTTTTTTAATTAATGAATAATTTCGGTTGAAGACAAAAATTCTGATTTCCTTTAACGTTCATTGACGTGATTTTTCCTTCACAAACGAGAAAGTGTTATTTTTATCGACATACTTACAGATTTGTCACTGTTTTGTCTGATAATAAAGATTTTAATGCAAACAAGAAATTAACATATTTTTAATTAATGTGTAGTTGCATAAACACGAAGACGTTTAAATAAAAAAGAATTGAAAAACAATAATATTAAGTATATAATAGAAAGCTCTCTATATGTATAAAACGACAAAGACAAATAAAGTGATTTCGACGATGTCAGATAACGTAATTTATTATCTATTAGTACCTACACGTTATCTAACATCGACAAAATCACTTACTCTGTAACACTTCGTTTGCAAACTTGCTCACATTTCTAAATTTAACGATTTTATGTCTATGATGAGTCTTTCAACTCTGTTCTCCCTTATTGTTCATAGATTTTTAAAATTTTATCTGATAAGACTATGTCCGTTTCCTATTCATGGACATTTAACATTTTACCATTTTAATTGACTATTCTAATTTATGTACTCGCAACTGTAAAGGATATGAGGACTTCGTTACCGAACAATTTTGTAGATTTCAAATAGTTTCATAATTATAATAATTTACTGTGATATTGATAATGATTCGATCGGCGTCACATTTGTTGTAATTTCTTTATTGTGTTGATAAATAAGTTTCTTTGTTACACAACTGGCTGTTAACTCTTCATTTGTCGTTTGTGATAATATTAAAGGTTATACCTTGCAAGGATGTTGTCATTGAAGCACATATTTTTGTGCTTCTAGTCCACATGATAACCAAGTACCATTTGGTATGGGAATTCTTTTCACATTCATTATATAGATTCGTAACAACGTTAATTATTTTAATGAAACAGAAATTTGTGCTGTTTTAGAGATCGAATGTGTCTATAAAGTTACCATTCAATATGTCATTTGTTACAATATAATGTAAGTATACATATAGGATGAATTACCAAATAATTCCATTTAATCTTGATATTCAAGAATGTACCCACCTAAACATATCTCCACAAAACTCACAATGATAAGGTTTTTCGCCTATATGAGTTCTCTCATGAATATGCAAATGCGCTTTGCTCTTAAATTCGTTATTACACGTTCCGCATTTGTATGATACACCTCCAGTATATAAATCGTTATTACACTTGGAACGTTCAACATTGCCATGCTTTCTAGTCACGTGTTTTTTTAGGTTCCATTTGTCACTGCAATGCGACCATTGCGATAATTATTATTTTTACCAGTTAACTTATTCTTTGATGTTGTGTTGCGTGTGTGTGTGTATGTGTGATTTACCAAATTATTTTCCTAACTCTTAAAGTCGGTTAAATACTCACCCACATTTATATTTACAAAACTTGCATTGATAAGGTTTTTCGCCTTTATGAGTTCTCTCATGTCTTTGGAATTTCCATTTGCACTTAAACTCTTTATTACACGTTCCGCATTTGTAGGATACACCTCCAGTATATAGATCCCTATTAGCCTTGAAACGTTCATCAGTGTTATGCTTTAGCACCACGTGCGATCTTAGATTACCTATGAACCTGCAAAACGACCGTAGCAACGTTTATTTTTTTTTCAATTAATTTAATTTTGATATTGAATTGCCAAATAATTACTTTAAATCTTGTTCTTCACTGAAATATACTCACCTAAATTTATGTTTACAAAATTCGCATTCATAAGGTTTTTCGTCTTCATGAATTTTCTTATGATTAAGGAAATGCGCTTTGTTCTTAAACTCTTTATTACACGTTTCGCATTTGTATGATTTACCTCTAACATACAGATGCTTATTAGACTTGAAACGTTCATCATTGGCATGCAGTGCCACCATGTGCGTTGATAGGTTATCTTTGGTCCTGCAAAACGACCGTTACTATTTTTATTACATTTACCATTTAATTTAATCTTAGATAGTGGATTACCAAAGTATTTCTCTATAACCCTTGTAGTTCACTGAAATACTCACCTAAATTTATGTTTACAAAATTCGCATGGATAAGGTCTTTCGTCTTCATGAATTTTCTTATGATTAAGGAAATGCGTTTTGTCCTTAAACATTTTCTTACATGTTCCGCATTGGTATGTTACACCTCCGGTATATAGATCCTTATTAGCCTTGAAACGTTCATCAGTGTTATGCTTTAGCACCACGTGCGATCTTAGATTACCTATGAACCTGCAAAACGACCGTAGCAACGTTTATTTTTTTTTCAATTAATTTAATTTTGATATTAAATTGCCAAATAATTACTTTAAATCTTGTTCTTCACTGAAATATACTCACCTAAATTTATGTTTACAAAATTCGCATTCATAAGGTTTTTCGTCTTCATGAATTTTCTTATGATTAATTAAATGCGCTTTGTTCTTAAACTCTTTATTACACGTTTCGCATTTGTATGATTTACCTCTAACATACAGATGCTTATTAGACTTGAAACGTTCATCATTGGCATGCAGTGCCACCATGTGCGTTGATAGGTTATCTTTGGTCCTGCAAAACGACCGTTACTATTTTTATTATATTTACCATTTAATTTAATCTTAGATAGTGGATTACCAAAGTATTTCTCTATAACTCTTGTAGTTCACTGAAATGCTCACCTAAATTCATTTTCACAAAGTTCGCATTGATAAGGTTTTTCTCCTGTATGAGTTCTTTCATGCCTATTAAAAGCCGTTTTGTTCTTAAACTGTTTATTACACGTTCCGCATTTGTATGATACACCTCCAGTATATAGATCCTTATTAGACTTGAAACGTTCATCATCGGCATGCATTGCCACAATGTGCGATGTTAGGGTATCTTTGATCCTGCAAACCGACAGTAACAATTTTTATTACATTTAACAGTTAATTTAATCAATGATATAGAATTACCAAAAAATTTCCCTAAATCTTGATGTTAAAACTTAAATACTCACCTAAATTTACGTTCACAAAAATCGCATTCATAAGGTTTTTCTCCTGTATGAGTTCTTTCATGCCTATTAAAAGCCGTTTTGTTCTTAAACTGTTTATTACACGTTCCGCATTTGTATGATACACCTCCAGTATATAGATCCTTATTAGACTTGAAACGTTCATCATCGGCATGCATTGCCACAATGTGCGATATTAGGATACCTTTGATCCTGCAAACCGACAGTAACAATTTTTATTACATTTAACAGTTAATTTAATCACTGATATAGAATTACCAAAGAATTTCCCTAAATCTTGATGTTAAAACTTAAATACTCACCTAAATTTACGTTCACAAAAATCGCATTCATAAGGTTTTTCGTCATTAATTGAAAGCTGCGTCAAGTATAATTAGTTATAAATACTTAGTTTTAGTTACAAGTATTTAAAATTATAAAGTTACCTCTCTGACGTTGGATGGTTGTTAGATTTATTTAATAACTTTTATGATTTAATAATTTTTTTTTATGATTTAATAACTTTTATTATTTGATGACTTAATAACTCTTATTTAATAATTAAAACTTAGATGTATATATATATATATATATATATATATTTTTCGAGAACCGACAGGACATTTTGCATAATTTAAGAAGTCGAATAATCTGCGGAGAGATGTTCTTTAGGAAAGTTAAATAACCTGTATTTTCTGTTTTTCCTTAAAGAAAATAGTCTAACCGTGGTATTAACTTAAGTTACAAAATATACAGAAATTGAAATTATATTACACAAGCTTCATGGTTCGCTCTATCAAAAAATAAAAATTAAACGTTGACGTATTAATTTTCTAAAAAAAACACGTTGATATAAGCAGTATTAGAGACTTTACAGCAGAATTGCCAATTTTCGTAAGAAATGTCAGTAAACAAACCTGCATGAACGCTCGCGCGCGCGCGAACGCACGCACGCACGCACGCACACACACACACACACACACACACACACGCACGCACGCACGCACGCACGCACGCAAGTAAAAATATCGCTGCTGCTAGGTTAATACGGACACGTATTTCAATTTCTGTAAATAGCATTTTAGTAATTTCTGTTACTTGATATCTGAAAAATTATAAGGGAACAGAAGGGGAATAAAAAATATAACCGGTGATAAGGTATCCGCTGCTTAATACGTATATAATTCAGCGATGTGTAGTCGGTGATAAATCATTTGAGCTATGGATACATAAGTACATATATACATATTTGTTGGCTAGAGTACCAGCAAAGTCTGTTCAGCAAACTCAACAGTTAAGTGAGAGCTAATATTGGTGTATACTTTTAGATGATTCAATCAGATTATTAGAATTAAAAGTACACAACAATAGTATTTAGTGCTCTTTCAAAGAATGAGTCTGCTGAACGCAGTTTATAATTTTCATCCGTACTTTGTCGAAAAAGAGATATTATATCAATGTCGCATTACTTTTATCAAGATTTTTGAATAGTGGTCATATTGCAGCCGTTACGTTTTACACAAGAAACAGCTTTGCAACTGACATATTCTTTAACATCATTTCATAAAATTCAAATCCAAAGAAACATAAGGACATACGTGCTAGTCATACGTGGCCTGTTACACGGATTCAATTCTAATTATTCTACTAAACACAGTTAATATTAAATCATTTTATTTACATTGCTTTGGCAATTTTTCGAGAGAAGCATTTGTTCCAAATTAGTATGATGTGTGTAATTATATAGCGATTTGCAATCATAATGATATGTGTAAAATTATTGTGGTAAATATTATTAAAGTTAAACTTTACACACATTATTATGTCGAAAGATTAATGCGACAAGCTATACAGGTAACCCTTAAATTATTATTTTTATTAAAGAATTAATACTTGTACCAGTTAAAAATTTCATGAAATTTACAAAATTTATTCAGTTATTTATTACACGCCAAATAAAATTCGAAAGCAGAGAATTGTATTATTTTATTCGTTACAAATGTATAATATCTTCTAATAGATACAAAATTTTAAAAAATTGCCACAAATACAATCATTATTGGACATTATCTTGGAAGTATATTATCGTAATACAGACATTAAAAAACAATGCTAAAACATATTTTCCAATTCAGTTCCAAATTGTTAATTAATAAATATAAAACCTAAGATCAGTACATACATATTTATACTTTATTAAAAATCTTCTTTTTCCATTCCTAGTATTATATGTTCTTCTATTCCAATATTCAAATATTTATATTTTATTGTACGCTTCGTCTTTACGCTCAATCGCTGAAAACATCGTTTCACCTTTTTACTCCTACATAGGAGAGTAAAGACTTTGATAACCATTTCAAAAAAATTACGTTACAATGTTACATAAAAATTGTTTAATTCAGCTACATTATTTGAAAAACTATACGTCAATAAGTTGCTTTTCTTTTAATTATATAATTCTGCTTTCTGAAGTTCTATTCACACATGCAGTTACATGATGCATGTTAATTATTTGTAATACCAAATAGTTTTTTAATCACGTGATTTCAAAGATAGTTTAATGATTTTGAATAACCTGTTACGTGTAATTTATCAACATTAATTACATGATATCGTCTTGTAACACATTTACGTTACCCTTTTGGAAACTATCTAGATTTAAGATCTATCAAAATATCGAAGAAGAGCACAAATAATACTTAGAGCGGTATACGTGCGAGTACTTTACATATTTTTAAGAGAGTACAGTCGAGATAATATCACTCAATATTTAATCCCTTCGTGAATTCGGTTACGATACCATCACATTCAATTTCCCCCATTGATGAAAAATTCAAAATTGTTATCTGCACATGTAAATTGCCGGAAGCGCACTGAGAAGAGACGAATACAGATATACTCAGCCTAACGTAACTCATTGTTATCTAATAATTCATAAAATGGACTAACAAATGTTCATGAAAATTGAATCCTTCCCATGATTGTATCTATTCTTTTCTTAACAATTAGTCAAAACTTTAAAAATTGTAATAGAATTTTTAGTAAACCTAGTTTCACGTTTCATCATTGCAATCTCGTTTCTAATTAACATACCGAAATTAGTTCGAGCCCTACAAAGAAAATCACAAAATTTTCATGAAATTTGTATACATGACACACATAAAAGTACAGCTTTTAAATGCTCACGTCCTAACACTGAAACGTCAGTGTCACTGTAGTTGTAAAAGCGTGACAACGTCTTTTAGTACAATGTATAGCTTCAGTTTCAAGAAAGTCAAACAGCCTTTAATTTTCGAGGGTGTATTACATTTAATAAAGCGAGAACATAATGAAAGTATAAAATACAATACATTAAAGATATTTATAGAAATAAGCAGCGAGAGTTGGAATGTTTCGTAACTTAAACATTTTATCAAAAATACACGTCAATCCCTATAGGCGCAAAATGATCCTAGAATGACAAATAAACATAATTATCGTTTAAAATAATAAAATTATTATAAATCATTTCCATAATAATTTATATTTTTTAATATTATGAGATTGTTTTCTATGTATAATATACGTCAATTTAATATTCTTCGTACTTTTTCCTTACAAAATATAATTATAGCATGCATTACTGTAATCTTCTTTGTATGATTGCAATTTGTATCTACAATGCAATAACAAAAAATATATATAGTATATTCAAATAATAAGAATATTCAATATATGGATATATAATATTATCGAACTTAGACATACAATCAATTAATGGTGCACCCATGCATACATCCATTAATGGTGCAACCATATACGATTATAAAATTTTAGCGAATGAAATTTTTCCTAATAGGATACAATTGAATTTCTAAAATATGCGGAATATATCCTGAATAAACAATTCGGTTCGAAATCGATTTATTTTTAAATCAGTTTGACGTCATAGTTTGCAGATATTTTTTAAATAAATCTTTGAAAAAAGATTGATTACGATGATTAAGCGTTGATAAAATATCATTTCTCTTTGCAAGTTAATAGAAAATATGCTCGATATGACATTAAAAAGAGATGACAGATCAAGCAATATCCATTTGACTTCGTCTCACAGGTGACAAAATATTCTTCTAAGAAATAATATGCGCTCCTAAGTATGCTATATTATACTACATAAATTAGAGTACTTCGTACAAAAATTATATCCACTGGAAATCTCCTACCTATGGGACGGTATCTCGTATAAATATTATATTTGTATTCTCAACTTCTTTCAACGTTGTTTCGTATTATTCTTCCTAAGAGTAATTATAATTGTATTTGATTCTTTTTATAACGTTATTCATCGCAGTTCGTTTCTATGACATAGTTGCAATATGCGATTCTAAAAAATAAATAATTCATCCTATAGAGTCTATGCAACTTAGACGTGAAAACTTTGGTAACGATTAAAAATCGAAAACTACGAAAAATACTTGTAGGAATACCATTGGTTTCCCTTAGCTTGGAGAATGTCGCTAAAGAAGAAGAATGTTACAAAGAGTGGAATAACAATGTTTTTACATTTTTATGATTTTTCTAAAACGCAGCAAAGACGAATATATTTTTATGAGACCTTCTTTCATAGTTTATCGATATTCTACACACTCCCAGAAGCTTCGACACTTTAGTTCTGAACACTCTAAATGTTAAACTACTTGTATAATATATTACATTTTTACATCATAATGTTATTATTACATATAATATATAAAATACCAATGAGAGCCAGACACTAGATGTATGTGTGTAGTAAAATTCTTTTTTTATATTAAAACTTGAACGTTTCGATCGCGAACACGATCCTTTCCAATACAATTTGTCCTTATATAAAATCTAATGTACATGAGAAGTTATACATGAGATGTTGTACATTGCAAATAAATCTCTACAATGTATGTAACGACATCAACTTCTCATGTACATTAGATTTTATATAAGGACAAATTGTATGAAAGGGATCGTATTGACGATCGAAACGTCTAAGTATTAATACAATAAAGAATTTTACAACACAAATACATTCAGTGTCTGGCACTTATTAGCAGTTTATATATTACGATTTAGTTCAACAGAGCCTCCTATATTTATTTTTTAATTGTGTTATTATGACGTAAACAAATAGAAACAAAAAAGGATAAGAATATTATAATGGTTTTCATAATTCTCTTTTATGAATGAATAATTTCCGTTGAAGACACAAAATTCTGACTTCCTATAATGTTCATTGACGTGATTTTCTTTGAAGTTTCGTTTTACAAACGAGAAAGTGTTATTTTTATTGACATATTTACAGATTTGTGACTGTTTGGATCTGATAACGAAGATTTTAATGTAAACAGAAAATTAATATATTTTTAATTAATGTGTAGATGCATAAACGCGAAGACGTATAAGTGAGAAATAATTGAAAAACAGTAATATTAAGTATTATATATAATAAAAAGCTCTATATGTATAAAACGACAAAGCAAATAAAGTGATTTCGACGATGTCAGATAACGTAATTTTTATTATCTATTAGTACCTATACGTTATCTAACATCGACAAAATCACTTGCTCTGTAACACTTCGTTTGCAAACTTGCTCACATTTCTAACGATTTTATGTCTATGATGAGTCTTTCAACTCTGTTCTCTCTTATTATTCATAGATTTTTAAAATTTTATCTAATAAGACTATGTCCGTTTCCTATTCATGGACATTTAGCATTTTACCATTTTAATTGACTATTCTAATTTATGTACTCGCAACTGTAAAGGATATGAAAACTGCGTTACCGAAAAATTTTGTAGATTACAAATAGTTTCATAATTATAATTTACTGTGACATTGATAATGTTTCGATCGGCGTCACATTTGTTGTAATTTCTTTATTGCGTTGAAAAATAAAAAAGTTTCTTTGTTACACAACTGTTTGTTAATCCTTCATTTGTCATTTGTGATAATATTAAAGGACATACCTTGTAAGGATGTTGTCTTTTATTTTTGTGCTTCCAGGCCACATGATAACCAAGTAGCATTTAGCATGGAAATTCTTTGCACATTCATTAAATTCGCAATAACGTTAATTAATGAAACAGAAATTTGTGCTGTTTTAGAGATCGAATGTGTCTATAAAGTTACCATTCAATATGTCATTTGTTACAATATAATGTAAGTATATAGGACGAATTACCAAATAATTCCATTTAATCTTGATATTCAAGAATGTACCCACCTAAACATATCTCCACAAAACTCACAATGATAAGGTTTTCCGCCTATATGAGTTCTCTCATGAATATGCAAATGCGCTTTGTTCTTAAACTTTTTATTACATGTTCCACATTTGTATGATACACCTTCAGTATATAAATCGTTATTATACTTGGAACGTTCAGCATTGCCATGCTTTTTAGCCACGTGTATTTTTAGGTTACTTTTGGAACTGTAAAACGATGGTTACAACTTTTATTGCATTTACCAGTTATAGTAATTTAATCATTGATATTGAATTACCGAAGAATTTTCGTAGTTCCCGTTATTCATTTAAATACTCACCTACATTTATATTCTGCACATAACTTGCATTGATAAGGTTTTTCACCATTATGAATTCTTTCATGGTTACGAAAATGCGTTTTGTCCTTAAATATTTTCTTACATGTTCCGCATTGGTATGTTACACCTCCGGTATATAGATCCTTATTAGCCTTGAAACATTCATCAGTGTTATGCTTTAGCACCACGTGCGATCTTAGATTACTTATGAACCTGCAAAACGACCGTAGCAACGTTTATTTTTTTTTCAATTAATTTAATTTTGATATTGAATTGCCAAATAATTACTTTAAATCTTGTTCTTCACTGAAATACTCACCTAAATTTATGTTTACAAAATTCGCATTCATAAGGTTTTTCGTCTTCATGAATTTTCTTATGATTAAGGAAATACGCTTTGTTCTTAAACTCTTTATTACATGTTCCGCATTTGTATGATACACCTCCAGTATATAGATCCTTATTAGACTTGAAACGTTCATCATCGGCATGCATTGCCACAATGTGCGATGTTAGGGTATATTTGATCCTGCAAACCGACAGTAACAATTTTTATTACATTTAACAGTCAATTTAATCAATGATATTGAATTACCAAAGAATTTCCCTAAATCTTGATGTTAAAACTTAAATACTCACCTAAATTTACGTTTACAAAAATCGCATTCATAAGGTTTTTCGTCATTATGAATTCTCTCATGAATATGCAAATTCTTTTTATTCTTAAACTCTTTATTACACGTTTCGCATTTGTATGATATTCCTCTAACATACAAATGCTTATTAGACTTGAAACGTTCATCATCGGCATGCATTGACACCATGTGCGATGTTAGGTTACTTTTGATCCTGCAAAACGACCGTTACTATTTTTATTACATTTACCATTTAATTTAATCATAGATAGTGAATTACTAAAATATTTCTCTATAACTCTTGTAGTTCACTTAAATTCTCACCTAGATTTATATCGACAAAGTTCGCATTGATAAGGTTTTTCGTCATTATGAATTCTCTCATGAATACGCAAATCACATTTCTTCTTAAACCCTTTATCACAAGTTCCGCATACGTGTGGTCTAATTTCAATTTGTACGTCTCTATTATTTCCAATTAAAGTTGTCGGGGCGTCAGTTCGCTTATCTTAATATAAGCAGTTGTTATGAAATAAGCACATGAAAACGGTATCATAATTCACATAATTTATATAATACTCTATTCAACAAAATTAAAGAGTCACCTGCAAGAACAGGCAAACTTCGAAAAAGATTCATTTCGTTAAAGATCATTCTACCGAAATGCTTAAAATACCGTTTTAAATCTTGTAATCTCTACCGACTTAAAAAAATATCTTGCTGATATTTCATGAAGTTATAGTATCATAAATAATCATCAAATCTTAAAGTTTTATACGAAATTTGTAAAATTTCACGGTGCGAAATGATAATTATGCACAAATGTGTTTCAAGGCTTCCGAAAGATAGAATCGCTTTTTAAGTAATTTTCTTTTTCGTCGACCTCTGTACGATTTTTTTCACCGATTTATTCAATGTTGTAGCAAAATGTTCATTTTTACGTACAATAATTCTGAGAAATAATCAGCGTCCAATAATTCAGAGAAAGAAAATAGTACGGAGCACGAATGAAACAAAATTTAGATACCAAGATTTATCCTTTCAAATGCTTTTAAACCACATCAGTGCACATTTCTAAATCGCGACGTAAAATTTTCGCTAATTTCGTTAAAAATATTGAAATGTGTTCACCTTCTTGTTTGTTTATGTAATTTTATATAATGTCGTTTGAAATAAAAGTCTGAAGAACCGATCAGAGCTTTAAATTGTTTTTCTGAAAATCTCGATACGATGATTATTGACAAAATTATTCAACATCAAATTTTTTAAATCTTTTTATGATGTAATATTTAATGTATTAATTTTGTTGATCAAATTTTAATGCACAAACGTATTAATAAAACTAAGAATTATTTTTAGGGACTATATATTTCTTACCGCGCTGTTGTCCATCTTTTGTGTCGTTATTCGTTTCTTCATTTTGATTCATCTTTTCAGTATCAACTCTCAAATACAGGGGTATTTTTCAATTCACTTTACTGTAACGTTCTTTATATTACTTTCGTAGTTTACACGTTCTAAATATAATTAGTCACATTTATGTTCATACTTTTCCTAAATTATAAGAAACCCTAAAAAACAGTAGCAATTTTAAATAAAATAAAATTATAATAAACTGATAGCTGTCACGAAAAGTAATAAGATAGTAACAAAAAGCTGTGTCAAATAAATTTAAAATTACGATTTTTTTTCAAATAGATTTAGTTATAAATACTTAATGCTAGTTAAAAATTTTTAAACCTATAAAGTCTCTTCTTTGACGTTGGATATAGTTATTTGATTTATTTAATGACTTTTATTTTTTATATAAAGATTTAATAACTTTTATTCAGGAATTAAGATTTAGATGTGCAGATTAATACCAAATGATACGTTTAAATTTGAAATTGTTTGCTGATGAATAAGCACGTCAATGTCTTGGGAACGACTGATCCAAGGTCTTCTACGGATACCTATATTATATGTTTTCAAATACGTACAGATATACACGTATGTATACTTATAATTCTTTCGAGAACCGACAGGACATTTTGCATTATAGTTTCAGACATGGAATAAACTGCGGAGAGATGTTCTTTAGGAAAGTTAAACGACCCGTATTTTCTGTTTCTCCTTAAAGGAAATTGTCTAATTGTGATATTAATTTAAATTACAAAACATATTGAAATTGAAATTATATTACACAAGCTACACGGTTTGTTCTAGCAAAAAACAAAAAACAAATGTTGATGTAATTTTCTAAATAACACCTTACCGTAATATAAGCAATATGAGAGACTTTGCAGCAATGTAATGCCAATTTTCGTAAGAATTGCCAATGAACAAGCACGCACGCTCGCACATACGCACATACGCACGCATGCACGCACGCACACGCACACACACACACACGTACACACAACCAAGTAAAAATGTCGACCTACTTATATTGCGTACGCGCGAGAGGCGGTCGGCGCGACGGGCCGGTCCAAGCGCATTTTACAAATGTCGATGCGGTGTTTAAGCTACCCTCTTCTCCATTTCTGGTCTCGTGTTCACGGCTGAGTTGTACGAGCGAATCTCCAGGAATATTTTGACCGTGTCGGTGCATGGCTAAGTGCTTCGCAAGACGTATAGGTACGAATCGCCCTCGCGCTATAATCAACGGCGTGAATGTAATTGACTTTGACATTTATCAATCAATCTGTTCGCACGTACGTTTTATCTCATTAAGAAGAACTCAAATTTCGATTTCAAGTTGTTTATTCGTTCAATGCGGATACTTATTCCAATTCTTTTAAATAGCTTCTTTGTAATTTCTGTTGTTTGATATTTAAAATTATAAAGGAAACAAAAAATTTAACCGATAAGATATCCGCTGCTTAGTACATATATAATTCAACGATGTGGAGTCGGTAATAAACCGTTTTGAGCTATGGATATATATATATATTACATATACATTCTGTTGGTCAGTGGACCAGCAAAGTCTCTTCAGCAAACTCAACAGTTAAGTGAGAGCTCGACATTATTGGTGCATACATTTAGATAATTCAATCAGATTTTTAGAATTAAAAGTACACAACAATAGTATTCAGTGCTCTCTCAACGACTGAGTTTGCTAAACGCACTTTATAATTTACATCCGTACTGTGTCGAAGAAGAGAGATCAATGTAGCCTTATTGTTATCAAGATTTCGGAATATCGGTCATAATGCAGTTGTTACGTTCTACAAAAGAAACAGCTTCGCAACTGATGTATTCTTTAACATCATTTGATTAAATTCGGATCCAAAGAAACATAAGGACAAGTGCTAGTCATATATGGCCTGTTACAACGGTTGCAAATCTAATTATTCTACTGAACGCAGTCAATGTTAAATCATTTTGCTTACATCTTTTTGGCTATTTTTCGAGAGAAGCATTTATTCCAAATTAGTATGATGTGTGTAATTATATAAAGATTTGCAATCGTAATGATGTATGTAAAATTAATTTGTTAAATATTTCTAGAGCAAAACATTACATTATGTCGAAAGATTAATGCGACAAGTTACAAAGGTAATGCTTAAATTATTATCTTTATTAAAGAATTAATACGTGTACAAGTGTTAAAACTTCAGTGAAATTTACATACAGTCACAGTTACCTATTACACGTCAAATATAATGTGAAACCAAAAAATTGTATTATTTTATTCATTACAAATGTATAGTATCTTCTAATAGGTATACAATGTTACCAAATTACCTAAAATACAAACATTATTGGATATTATCTCCAAAGTTTACTGTCGTTATACATACTATAAAATTAAATTCTAAATGCAAAGAAATATTTTCCTAACTATATTCCAAACTATTGATTAATAAATATAAAACCTCTAAGATCAGTACATACATATTTATACTTTATATTAAAAATCTTCTTATTCCATTCCTAGTATTACATGTTCTTCTATTCCAAAATTCAAATAATTATATAAATTTATTATACGTCTCGTCTTTACGCTCAATCGCTGAAAACATCGTTTCACATACCTTTACCATATACAGTTATACGATGCATGGTAATTATTTGTAATACCACATTTTTTAATCACGTGATTTCAAAGATAGTGTAATAATTTTGAACAACCCATTACGTGTCATTTAATATCATTAATTTGATGTCGTCATTTAATCAATTCTGTTACGTTACCTTTTGGTAAGGATCTATCAGATATCAAAGAAGAACACAAATAATACTTACAGTGGTAAACGCACGAGTACTGTACCTATTTTAAAGATGGTACAGTTGCGATGATATCACTCAATATTTAATCCCTTCGTGGATTCAGTTACGGTATCCTCGCATGCAATTTCCCCCAATAATGGAAAACTGTTTTCTGTACATTTAATTGCCGAAAGATCACTCGGAAGAAACGAACACGGTTATACTCAGCTTAACGCAACTCATTAATATCCAACGATTCATAAAATGGACTAACAAATGTTTATGAAAATTAAATACATCCAACGATTTCATTTATTCTTAGTCAAAGGATTAAAAATCGGAAGACAATTTTCCATAATCACAGTTTCACGTTTCATCATTGTAATATCGTTTCTAATTAAAATATCGAAGTTAGTTTGAGCCCTACTAAGAAAATCGCTATTTCATGACTTTTCATGAACTTTGTATACATAACGAACATAAAAGTGCAGCTCCTAAATGCTCACATTCTAACACTGAAACGTCAATGTTACTATAATAGTAAAATCGTGGCAACGTCTTTTAGTACAATGTTTAGCTTCAGTTTCAAGAAAGTCAAATAGAATATAATTTGCAAGAGTGTAATACATTTAATAAAACAAGGACGTAATAAAAGACAAATTATATGAAAGTTATTTAAAAATATACACAGCGAGAGCTAGAATGTTTTGTACTTCAAATATTTTATCAACAATATACGTCAATCCCTATAGGCGCAAAATGACTCTAAAATTTTTTTTGACACATAAACATAATTAACATTTAAAATAATAAAGTTATTATAAATCTTTTCAGTGATAATTTATATTTTTTAACATTGAGGCTATTCTATGCATACTATACGTCAATTTATGTAATATCCTTCGTATTTTTTCCTTAACATCGCCAAAATATAATTATAATATAGATTACTGTAATCTTCTTTGTATGACTGCAATTTGTATCAACATTGCAATAACAAAAAAGATTTAAAAGTCAGTTTTGCTAAAATAACTTTTAATGCCCGTATAATAATATAGCATATTCAAAAAATAAAAATATTTAATGGATATAATAATATTATCGGACTTAGATATACAATCAATTAATGGTGCACCTATGCATACATCCATTAATGCTGCAAGAATATTCGATATACACAATTATAAAATTTTAGCCAATGAATTTTCGCCTAATAGGATGCAATTGAATTTCTAAAATATGCTTATTATATCCTGAATTCGATTTGAAATCGATTAACTTTTAAATCAGATTGACGTCATAGTTTGTAGATACTTTTTTTTTAAATCTTCGAAAAAAGATTGACTACGATGATTAAGCGTTGATATAATATCATTTTTCTTCGCAAATTAATAGAAAATATGCTCGATATAACATTAAAAATGGATGACAGATCAAGCAATATTGACTTTGTCTCAGTGGTTAAATATTACTTCTCAGAAATAATATGCGCTCCTAAGGATGCTATATTACACTACAAAAATTAGAGTTTCTCGTACAAAAATTATATCCACTGCATATCTTCTACCTATCAGACTATTTCTCGTATAAATATTATATATATATCCTCAACTTCTTTCAAACGTTGTTTCGCATTACCCTTACTAAGAATAATTATAATTGTATTTGATTCTTTATACCGTTGTCCATCGCAGTCCGTTTCTATGCGACATTATAGTTGCAATATGAGATCCTAAAAAATAAATAATTTTTCTTACAGAGTCTATGCAACTTAGATGTGAAAACTTTGGTAACGCTTAAAAATCGATAAACTACGAAAAATACCTGTAGGAATATATTGATTTCGCTTAATACTGGAGAATGTCGCAAAAGAAAAAGTATGCCACAAAGAGTGAAATGACAATGTTTTTACATTTTTATGGTTTCTCCAAAACGCAGCAAAGACGAATATATTTTTACTAGACTTTCCTTCGTAGTTTATCGATATTCTACACACCCCCAGAAGCTTCGACACTTTAGTTCTGGACACCCTAAATGTTGAACTCCTTGTGATATATTACATTTTTATATCATAATGTTATAATATTATTACATCGTAATATATAAAATGTCAATGAGAGCCAGATACTAGATGTATGTGTGTAGTAAAATTGTTTTTTTTATATTAAAACTTAGACGTTTTGATCGTGAACACGATCCTTTTCAATACAATTTGATTCTTATATAAAATCAAAT